GCGGACACCCCCCCCCCCCCCCCTTAACCCCCATACTTTAAGGGTTGATTGCTTGTTTCATCTATGGAGTAATAAATAAGATGTAATACTCACCTGAGGGCTGTCGCATGGGGGGCGGCAGGCACAGTGACATGGCCGCTGTACTCGGCAATGTTTGCAGTGTGTCTGCTGCCCCCCTTTTTGGCCAGAGCGTCCCTGGTTGCTAAGAGCCAGGCGGGGAGATGTATAAAGTCCATACACATCTCCCTGTTAAGCTCTCAGAAATTCAAACCATGGGTGGCACTGTTGGCACTACCCTGCTTTGCAAAAGTCAATCATGATCAGTCAAACAGTGATAGCATCGTGTTTCGTTCTTTGTTTTCCATTGATAGCATCCTATCATATGCAGTCACTGTTCAGGTATTCAGACAGGCAGCCATAGACGCAGTGGCAGTGGTAGCATGGCTGGCAATTCTATTTACAGCAAAGGTGTAACCTTAACTATAGTAGACAATGCAACTCCTATGTGGTCCAGAAGCTCTAAAGCTGTCTGGCTATACAGTCATTTAGGCAGGTAGCAATATTAGTTTGAAACATTTTGATGAGCTGAATGTATAGCTAGTTTAAGAACCCCTGTGTGACCACTATAAGGCCTTGTTCACACCATGTCCGGATCATGTCCAAACCAGAACAGTTTTTTCCAGGACCAAAAAAGCATCCCAATGTATCCCTATGGTATTTCTGGGCTCTGTTCACACCAGCAAAGTCTGTTCCGGACAGGACAAAAAAAAATACTGCTTGTCTCATTTTCTCTGATCTGGAATGCACTGGAACGCATGTAAACACATCAAAAACATATACAAATGCACTGGACCGCACCTGAAAGTATTTTAAGCTTAAAACAAAAATGCTCTGGAACGCAGCAAAATCATGCTAAAACGCTGCAATCTGGTCCAGGTATGGTCCAGAAAATGGTGTGAACCTGACCTTCATGCTTCTGGATTGGGAAGTGCATTAGAGAGGCAGGAATGCCCCCAAATGGAGCAATATAAAAGTCAGATTACCCAAACAATATAAGGAGCCAGTATGTGATTCACCCCCCTTAGTACAATAGATATGATGTACATTATCATCTGCACACCAGTCTCATCAGAGTTTATAAAATAGAACTTTTATTCCATTGCTTAAAACATATTTTAAAAAATCTCCTTTCATGTATTTTACATGCACCTATCTCAATTTAGAAGGATGTTTCAATCAATATTTTGTTCATTATCCTTATTTCAAACTTCAATTTTTCAATATCTGTTATTTGCTCTCATTCCTACTACATTTTATGCTTATGTTCTCATTAACTCCCTTTAACTGATATTAACAATCCCTACAACCCACACCCAACAATGTGCCAATGCTCCAAGTACAAAACCAAACAAGCAGTGGACACCTCTTATTTGGTTTTGCACTTGGAGCATTGGCACATTTAATTTATGTTGTACACTAACTTGAACCCCTGATGAAGCCATGTTAATATCGAAACATGTTAGGTGTAAGTTGTAGGAATTTGTAATATTAGTTACAGTGAGTTAGTGAGAATATATGAGCATAACATTTAGCAGGAATGAGAGGAAACATTAGAAATTGAGAAATGGAAGTTTGAAACGAGGATAATGAAAAAATAGTGATCACAACCTCCTACTAAATCAAGAACATGTAACGTACATGTAAAAAAGATATATGTATATATATATTTTAAATGTTTTACATACGATGGAATGAAACCTATATTTTATATAACTGGAATGGGACTGATGTGTAGATGATAATGTTACATACATATTATTAATGTACCTCATACTTGTTCAGCTTGGAAATAATTAAAACCCCTTAGGTGGAGAAAATTATTTGCAAATAAATCTCCTAAAAATGTATTAAACCCACTAGCATCTACCCAAAGTAGAAGATGCATGCAGATTAAAAAAGATATATATTAAAATGGACACTGCAGTATGGACACTGTGTTATAGTTCTGAGTCAAGTGATTCAAACCACATTTAGACCTCTGCTATGTACAATTCTAGTAGTCACTGGATTTCATTTCAGAATAGTCACCTTTACAGATATCCTGTTTGATTCTTTCTGTGCCTAGGAAGGATCCTCTAGCCATGTAATTATATTATGGCGTTATGTTTTCAGCTAGCTTCATGTCACAGATAATTTAATCTGGAAATTGCTAAACCTTACACACATCATGCTGTATTCATTACACAAAATGAAGTCACTGGGTCTTGTCTGACCTCAGATTTGGTTAGTGTAATATAAGTGCTACAGCATTATTTGTTCAGTTTACTGTAGCCATGGTAAACATTGAGATGGGATTACAGATTAACTCCAACTAGGAAACTGAGCTGTAACACAATGCTGCTAAAACTGGAGGGAATAAAAGTCAATGTGCTGTCCATGACAGCCAATCATATTCCAGATTTTGCTAGTTCAAGATAAACTCTTTTATTGTTCTTTTGACTCACCAAAGTGACCCCTGAAAAGTGCCCAGTTCAGACATTTATGGCTGAATTGGGAAAGTCTGTATGGCGAGTGCTCTTTAGACACACCTGCTTGGGGAAAAGTTAATTGAAATGAAGATGGTTCCAGACTGGGTGGCTGTCATCCAATGTCCATAGGTAGTTTATGAGGCCCTCTGGAAATTTTCGTTCCATTCCCAGTTCAAGAAAACTATAGGTGTCTGTTCTGATTTAAAAGGTTTCTTAGAAATTACCATGGTCACTTGATTAGTTCAAATTTACTTGCTCGTCTAATGTATATGTTTGCCTTTTGACCTGAACCATTTTAAAGTTATAATTTATATTGTTATTTTCACCATAGAGAAATCATTATGCTGTGGGAACAATCACATGATTTGCTATAGTCATGTGTTAAAATATTACCTACAGAGCACTCCCTCACAGAGCTCTTCAATCTAGTGTCACCCAAGTACTTCTCCTGTTGCAGGGCCAGGACCTATGTATGCTAGACAACCGACATGTTGGGCTCAGATTGGTGGTGACAAGATTTCAGCGTTGACCTTCTGGCAGCTTTTGCAGCATACACATGGAGGTTGGATCAACTGCTACAAATGTTAAGGTGCCCATACACCTGCCGATTATTGTACGATTGTCGGCGGGTTAGTGTCGTTCTCGGGAGACAAATGCTGAACGGGCCGGTGTGCGCAACTGCACACTGCCCGTGCGGCATTGAAGTCATCGGATGCCCGTCCATCAGCGGGGCGGGTTTTCGATGATCGCAAGTACGATCTGCCTGTCCAAGATGGGCAGATCGTACAAGCTTTTAATTAGCTTACAACCATCGCAAGACAAAAGTCTTGCGATGGTTGTAAGGTGTATGGGCACCTTAAGGCACAAAAGCAAGGCAAAAGACCCAGAACATTGGACAATGCTCAGAAGACCTCCTAAGAACTCAAGCCAGTATCTATCTGATGATGATCAATGGTATCTATCTGATCAAGGTAAATGTTAACGACCTGAACAAAAAGTGTCCTGTTACTTGTGCTACAATGCATGACTACCTGCTTCTTGGTGAAATAAAAAATCTACTTGCTCCTACTTAAACCCTGAAAGTTGCCAGTATCTAGGTATACTACAGTACATTCCATTATTTGGTAGATCCAGCTCACTCTTGCAATGTTACTCTCACTTTGCATTTTAGAGTTATGTTACTGTCATAAATTGTATGAATAGGCAATTATCAAACTAATTTGCTACATATTCATACAAAAACAAGGCTGCTTGATTAGCCAAGCCTATGCGAGGTTGCTTACCTGTGTTTGCAACCCCTTTGTCTGCAATCCAGGACCACCAACTGAGGTGTTGCAACAGAATAACCACTGGACATGACACCGTTTTACTAAAAACACCATGACAACTAAGATTTGATCAGTGGCAGGTTTTATTTTGTGCTATGTTAGAGCAGCAGAAGCAGCTGTCTCATAGTCCTCAGTGGCCATTGGAACTAGGAGTCATTGGGGCTGATTTACTAAAGGGAAATAGGCTGTTCACTTTGCTAGAGAGTATACAATTTGCAGGAGACATTAGCCTAGTAAATGTGGTAAAAATTCAATTTGCAAAGAATACCCAATCATGTGCAAAGAAAATGAAATAAACAGCATTTTAGTTTTCACTTGATTGGATGATGGAAGTCAGCAGAGCTTCATCTCATTTATTACAGTAAGGGAAAGCGTCCCCTGCAAAGACCCAATTCCCTTGCAAAGTGAACAGCATATTTGCCTTAAGTAAATCAACCAACCCCAATGACCTAGTCAGAGGTTCAACTGCTACAAATTTTCCTATGCCTCTGATGATGGTATGCTTTAATAATCCACTGACTCATTGATTAGGTAAAGGCCAACCTTAATTGATCCTCTTAATCTGCTCCACAATGGAACACACAGTTCCCATTAGGTAGCAGTCTTAAATATTTTTCCAATGGCTTGTTTAAAAAGACCAGTGTAACTGTGTTTGCACAGATTGACAAAGGGGATAAAAGCTGTAAAATTACCCTTTGATAATAAAACATTTTTATGTGTAAAGCAAAACAGTTGAATGCATCTTATGCAGAAGATTAAAAAACAACAATTAGCACTTTGTAACCAAGCAGCTGTGAATAAATAAAAGAGCTGAATAGTTATTATCTAGTGCAGACTGCATGATAATGGTCTCCTGCATACACACAATTAGCAACAAGTAAGTTACATAAATTAGCTGCTTTTGCATTTAACTGCTATTAGAAAGCATTTCCCTGCTTGTTCTTTGAATATAAAAACACCCTTTTAGTATAGAGCTGATACACATAAATATATATTTAGAACTTTGTTGATATGTGTACACATTGAGTAAATTGTAATTGTTAGAAGCTTATTTTCTGGAAATTCTGTATCCAGGAATTCCAGAAACATTCTCCAGAATGATATGTCTGCCGGTATCGCACCATAATGCAGTGTTGCTGCTCATATTTGATTGGTTCAATGTTGGCAGCCCTAAAGTCATGTCTGCTATACAGCACTTGCCTTCAGTTCAGTTCAAAGAAGGGAGATTTCGATATTATTAAGTACTCAGCTTGTGCCTTGATCAATAGGTTAGAAATGTCTGTCCGGCAGAATAACAGGCATGTTTTGAAGTGCTACACAAGCTATATGTGCATTAATATTAACAGCCCTGGCCATGTAGGACATTCCCCTACATTTGCAAGTTTATGAACATGACTGGGTTAAAATTTGAAGTCCTTCCAAAAGTTCCCATTTTTATAGTCAGAACAACAAACATCCATGGAAAAGGTAAATCACTTTGGTAAATTTGTAAAAAGACATTTATTCACTTGCACTGTACCTTTGAACTAGCAAAATCTAACTTCTTTAGGAAAGTCAATTCATACCAGACCCTTTAGGGGGGACCCCAACGCCAAATCCGAGCAGCAGCATGCAAGACCAGAAAAAAAGGGGGGGGGGACGCACCATACCAGGTCACATGCCCTCAACATGGGGCAGGTACTTTGCCAGGGGATATCTCCTAGAAAAGCACCTTGTGGGCCTCTTCCCCACAACCATGGTCCTGTGGTTGTGGGGGTCTGCGGGCTGGGGGGCTAATAGGAAGCTGCAAAAAGTTTCCCAGCACACTCACCAGCTAGCATGCAAAAAAACTTGTCTAAAAGCTATGGTTAAAAACAGAGGTTTTAGATACACGTCTTCTGCAGAATATGTGAAAGCTACACTGCCTCGTCAAGGCACCTCTATGTTATTCGGTCCTAACTCTAACTTATGAGAGTCTATGATGTTAAAATCACTGCTCCTTTAAAAACTGTATTTTTGTTTGTTTTTTTGTCATTGATTCCTGTCCCCCAGGGCAGTACCCGGACCCCCATACACCTTTTATGGCCAATAATGTGCATATAAGCCCTCTTAAAGGGAACATTCATTTTCAAAAATTTGACCCCCATTGACTTGCATTGAGATTGAGTTCGTA